CGTTTCGCACAGCGAGGGCATCGCTTCTGTCGTAGATCGTCATCGGGTCGAAACGTCGCCGTGGGATTCGCATACACAGAGTGGCCGCCAGTTTCTGATTATGAGCCCTTTCTCGCCATTGCACTTTTTCCCACGTAGATCACAGCCCAGCCAAACGGCAGCTGCAGGCTCCGCTGCCGAGGCCGAGTCGCCAAAAGTAAATACACGGCGATAGCACGCCTTGAGGCGACTGCAGTAACCCACGGACTTCGCGCACTAGCCGAGCCTCAAGACGAGCCACTTCACGCTTGGAAAGAGGGACGACTTCGAGGCAGCATAAGCCCACAGAGCGGACCAGCGACTTCCCAGAGCCTGATCCTCAGCTCGGGGCTGAGCCACCCACGGAAAGCACGACGTTGCAGACGAGCGCGGGCTGAGCTCGCCGCTTGGATCCTGTGGGCCACCTCGACCTGGTAGCTACCAGTGGCTGCCAGATGGACGCCGACGCATGCGACAGTGGGCTGCGGGTGGAGGGGGAAGCAGTCGTCATCATGCCACGCGACAATGCCAGTAGTGCGAGCCCTGATGCGCCTCATCCTCCTCTTGCTGCCCACACCTGGTAGTATCAATAGAAGTTCAGTCTTCTTCCCGACCACATGCTTGCCTCCATGCTCAATCTCGCTGTTCGCGATTCCAAGGAAAGTGGAGACGTCGTCACATTCCTCAACCTCGGTGAAAGTCAACAAGTCATCCAAGAACTCGAGGCGGCTGACGTCGACCATGGCGCAGTCCTCAGCCTCCATGCCGCTATTGGTTCTGAGGCGCTTGAGGAAGGGGTCAAAGTAGACCGAGGCGCTCTTGTAGCCCTGTTCAGTCTGAATCTCTGCAACCTTAGCAACTAGCTTAGCGCAAGCCACCGCGAAGAGGCCAGGGCGTTCTACCCCTCATTGACGGACCCCCCCGTTAAACACATATCCTGCCAGTGGGCCCTCGCGTCTTCACATCGCGGACCAGGTAGCACATGCCGTCGCGGAGCTCCTCTAATGTCACGCGGGCGTCCCTTCGTAACTGATGATTCTCGAGTCCCGCCCCGGTGCCCTGACGGCTGGCCATGTCGAATGCTTCCTCCAGGTCGGCAAGGACTGCCAGCAGCATGGGAGGCGGAGAGGCGCGGCCCCAGCGCTTGGCCCGATGAGCACGAATGTGCCGAGTGATAGCCCCCAGGGCCACCGCCACCGCGCCTCGAGTGCCACGCCAAGGCATTGCCCCGAAATGCGCAGGGGAGATACGATGCGCAACGGCGCGCAGCGCGCCCAGGGTGGTGACCCTACAAGGCACTTGCCCACGTGGCCTATCAGGCTGATGGCGCGGTAGTCGTGCTTCTCGGAGCTGCCGTCGCCCTTGGGCTTGCGCAAGAGGACCACCTCGCCATCCTTGAACCTCTGGGGGGGGGCCTTCCCCAGGGCCTGGGCCGCAGTGAAGACCTGCAGTAGCGGGGCCGCCAACATGTCAACCGCCAGCTTCCACGCCTCAGCGACCGCGCCGACAGGCGGGCCCAGCAGCGGCCACTCCAGCGCGGGGCCGCCCTTCAGGTTGGGCAGGTCCATGATGCTCTGTTCGGCGTCGCGCATGTCGCGGGGCCGAGCCCATCGCCATTTCCACCTGCCGCGCCCCGAAGGGGAGGGGGGACGTCCAGTGCCATGGATTGCCCGTCGCATAGTCCTCAAATGCGTTGAATCCTGACCTACCGATCACGCTCCACGTCAAAACACGGGAGGCCAGCGGCTGGGTCGTTGGCTGTCATCATCGGCGCTGGCGCTTTGGGTGGTAACTGTCTCACGATGGCGCGGAGCTTCCTCTGATTGTTCTGGCCAGATGCCTGCTCGGCGAGCTCCGCGAGTGCCACCGTACGCTGACGCTTCTCACTCCTGATCGCCTTGGTCGCCGCCCTTGATGTTTCGCTGGACTTGGCCTGGATAAAGTTCCTGAGCCAGTGGGATGGGTCAGGCACCGCGCTCAACTGCCGCTGCCGATATCGCGCGGAGGAGATGAGCTGGACCGTCGAGTCCCCGAAAGCCGAGGTGCCCACGCTGCCTCGGGAGGGGAGCTCAATGTAAGCGGCAAGCACCGCATTCACCACTACTCCCTCCCAGCTCACAGACGCTGGCCGACGGTGCGTCGTAGAGCTTGCCACTGCCACACCCTTATGGAGTCGCTTCTCTTCAAGTCACTCTCTGATTCTCTGATGAAGTTCACGCATTCGGGCAGGTAGATCGGGCCCCTGTTCGTCGTCGCCTTGACCTTGTTCGAATCGCTCGAGATCCAGCAGGGGAACTTCACGTCGCCAACGGCGCCGTCCTTCCTGCCTCGGGCGGGCCCGCATGCCCGCGAAGATGCGCGTCTCCAGCGGGCGGTGGTCCCGATAGCCTCCAAGATTGACTGGCAGATCAAGTCTGGGTCGAGACCAGTGGCCATACCCCCGCTGACGCCGCACAATAACGTAGTCGATAGTAGTTCAGGAGCCGATGCGGCTGCGCCACATGCCGTTGAATCTCATTTGGCTGCCGAACGTGTTGAGCGCCATGAGGCCGTGATCCTCCATCAGGTACATCAGCGAGTGCCCATTCTCGCTGATGGTTGGGATCTTATGGCGCGCACCAGCGCAGCCAACCCATGGAAGATGTGGAAGTAAATGAACGTTGGCGTCCAGCGTATGGATCGGAGCAGTGCGAGTAGGGACCTGGCCGATGGCCTTGCGGCATACCTGCCAGAACGCTTCCCGCAGGGCCTGGTGGGCGCCACGTAGAACGGTAGGATCAGCGGCCTGGGGGGGTCGACCTGGCTCACTGGTGGGAGCATAGCCGCTCATGATGTAAATGTCTCGCCCGTAGCGGGCGCTGTGGGAGTTGCGGAGGCGAATGCCATGAAGCCGCCCCTGCATCCATACGTGTTCACATCGGACCTCTCAGCTCCTGAAGTGCATCATGTTGATGGCAATGAGGCAGCCATCGCGCTGACCCTTTCCTGAGCGCGCCAGGGAGTGCACCTCGAACTGTCCCGTCTTCCATTTCACGCCGAGGTCCATCTGGGTGCTATGCATGGAAAAGATGGCCACGTTCTCCTTCCTGGCGAGCTCCAGCAGTTCGTCGAGGCGGCCGACAACCCGTAGGGACTCGGCGTTGGACTCGCGATGTTCTCTCTTGTGTACTTCAGCTGGCGGTGGAGGCAGCTTTGCTAAACGATTCAGCGTCGCTGTGGGAACCAGCTGCGCGGCCGTGGCACGCGTGTATCGTACTCCGTGATACCAGGCCTTCCCCGCCACCAACGCGAGCCGCACCGCTCGCCTTTCTTCTTTTTTCGCAGCCCTGGAGCGCGCAGCGCTGGGCCATCTTTCTCATGAGGAGGGTGCTGCTATACCAGCCAACGCAACTCTCATCAGGACCAGAGGGCGGGCCGACAAAGAAAAGCGGGCCAGGGACAGAACCGAAACAGGCGGGGAAACGGCGAGCCAGGGAGCGAGGGGGGGAGGGACAAGAAGGACGACAACGGGAAGGGACAGACGGGGCCGACAGACGGAGGGACGGGGAAGCGGAAAGGAGGGAACCAAGCCGGGGGAGGGAGGGAGGAGACACGACACACGAGGGCAAGGGAACACAAGGGCAGGGGGGCACAGAAGGGAAAGGGGAAGGAAGGGAGCCAAGAGCCAAGAAGCACACAGGAGCCAGCACCGCTCGCCTTAGGGCTCGCTTGCCGCGCATGGCCGTTACGCCCTTCTTCCAGCAGCTCCAGTGGAAACAGCACCAGCTCCGCTGTCCTCACGGGTCGGGCGCTCGCCTCACAGTGGTCCAGAACGTCACTCGCCCCGCCGCGGAGTGCCAGAGGCGGCCATCGCGGGCCGACGGGGCAGGTGCTGAACTGGCCAGGACTTGAGACCTGGCACGACTGACTCCTGCGTCAGGGACGTCTCGAGCCGTCGAGGCTTCCGCCGAGATTCCGCTGGCTTCCGCCGGCTTCCGTCGGCGGAGGCGGCCTCGTCTTACTTCCGCTGCCCTTCCGCCGCCTTCCGCCGAGGAAGAGATGGCAACTCCTTCGATCATCTTCCTCTTCCTCCTTCGACCCTTCGAGGCCCCGGGAAAAGGGAAGGCCTCTTCCTGGGACGCCCCAACTGCTACTGGTATGCTTAAGTCGGGCGTGTCCCCCTACAGGGGGATTTTCGACGGAAAATAAAAACTGCTCAAAAAATACTCCAAAATGCTCAAAACATACTCCAATAAAAAAAGTCCCCAGACTATCTTTTGACCTATTTCTTGACTATGTATGTCTCTGTGCGTCCCCCGGGGGATGGCAGAGGGCGGGTTGGCGGATCGGCCGCGCGCAGCTGGCCATCCCCGCGCGCGGGAGGCGCCCGCGCCTCGAGGTCAAGGGCCCGGCGGCGGAGCTGAAACGAGCCGGCGCACGTCACCTTCGGTGGCTGCTCCCGGGAGCCTCCCACATCGTCTTGTCGGCTCTTGCGAATCGACGCCAGGCGACGCTGAATCGACGCTGATCGACGCTAGATCGACGCTAGATCGACGATAACCGACCCGAAATCGGCGCTATCTCATCGACTCCCAGACGCTGATCGACGCAAATCGACGCGAAACACAGAATTACGAGGGTACACAAGGCTCCCATAATTTGCTACCGAACCCCCCCCCCTTCCCAATCCCCCCACCCATCTCGCCAGGCCTAGTCCAGAGCGCAGCAGACCCTGCAGTGTGCGGAAGCAATCAAAGTAGGCCTGCTCTGGGGAGCATCTTGGCAGTAATTTGGTCTCTGAATGGTCTGCTCAATGATATCCGACATCACGGAAAAAAACAAACAAACAAAATATTTTAAAAACAAAAAAACATCGTGAAAAAACACGATTCGAACCCTGGATCCCATCTTTCTGTCGCATTTGTCGAGCCCGATCGACCCGTGATAGTCCCATGGAGCGAGACCGGGCGAAGACGCCCGGCATGAAAAAACATGTGCGACGCCCCGTGCACAGAGTCTGGAGCACATCGTGGCAGAGTCTGGGGCTCCGGGCGGTGTGCTCGGTTGCGCACCTTGGCCCCTGACCACCGACGTCATGATTTCTTCATGACGCGACCCCCAGAAGTCCGGACCCATTCCCCAGGACCGGTTTTTCATCCTGGGTCAGTTTTTGACGGTTCCGAGGCCCGGGAAGGGCCCCCACAGGCCGAAAATGGCGAAAAAACGCCAGTCGTGTTTTTTTACAGCGCGAGGGGGGCTGGGGCCCCTGCCCCTGCGTGGGGCAAGTGGGCCACGGCGCTGGGGCAGGCCTCGCCGCGCCCGGGCCGGGCCACCACCCTGCTCTCGCGCACGTCTGTGTGCAGGACCCTGCTCGGGCGGCACGCAAGAGGTGGCCTCCACGGACCCCCCGCGGAGTCGTTCGGCGGCAACTCCTGGGAGCCTTCCGCCGAGGAAGAGACGGCAACTCCTTCGATCCTCGAAGGCAAGGCCTTTCCTGGTACGCCCCACCTAGTACTGGTCTGTCTCTGTGTCCTCAGGGGTACACGGTTTCCCCCGGGGCCGTAGGCGACCCGAGGACGGGGAGTAGGAGGTGGAGGAGGGGGAGGGGGAGGAGGAGGAGGAGGAGGAGGAGGAGGAGGAGGAGGAGGAGGAGGAGGAGGAGGAGGAGAGGATGGAGGAGGAGGGGGAGGAGGAGAATGAGGAGATGGAGGAGGAGGAGGGGGAGGAGGAGGAGGAGGAGGAGGAGGAGGAGGAGGACCTGTGCAAACCCAAAAGCCATCAACGATGTTGGAATACACCCTCCCTCCAAGCTCCCCCTTCATAGCTCCCTACAACGGTTCATTTCCATTGAGGGATCTGTCTCGTTGGAAGACAACCGGGATTGTTCTCGGGATTCCAACACCACGGATGGCAGAGGGAGGGTTGGCGGATCGGCCGCGCGAAGCATGACAGAGGGCGGGTTGGCGGATCGGCCGCGCGCAGCTGGCCGTCCCCGCGCGCGGGAGGCGCCCGCGCCTCGAGGTCAAAGGCCCGGCGGCGGAGCCGAAACGAGCCGGCACACGAGACCGTGCTTTCAAAGCGGATCCAGAAGGCCCAGAAAGAACAAAAAACATAATAAAAAAAGAAATAACAAAAAACATAATAAAAAAAGCCAGGCAAGGCCGCCGTAGTCTCGACTGGCCCACTGGCCCCCTCCTTCGACTGGGCCCGCACCAACGCGCCACTCTGGCGCAAGGCCACGCTTCGCCACGCCCGAGTGGGCACCACGCCCAACAGCACTGTCCAAATCCGACAGCGGCCGCTGCTGGGCATGCTCCACGTAGTACAGCAGACCGCGCCGACACCGACTGCAACTCCTGCTCCAAATGGAGAGGACCTGCTGCTGGCCGTTCATCCCTGTGTTCCTTGCCCATGCCGGTCGGCTTTCGGGTCACGCCTCGGGTCTCCGGCGTCCGTTCGGGACGGTGCGGGCACACACGGAACGCCATCTGCGTGGCCCAGCTGCTGCAAGGCACCCTGGGGCTGAAAGACCGCCGACAACCGCCGAGAACACTCGAGAACCTCCGTCGCGAACCGACGAGATTCGGGCCCAGCTCGATCGCGCCGAGCCCTTGCGCGCAGCCTGCCTGTGGAGGTGCAGGTGCCCAAGCCCGCCAGCGACCTGGCCGAGCACGGCGGCCGCCCACGGCTCCGTGATCTCCTCGCGGCGGGCAGCCGCCAGCAGCTCGTGCAGGTTGGGACCTGACTGCCTACCAAACCACCCCAGACCCAACCCGAAGCCCCAAATTTGTAAGCGTTTTCTGATTCGGAGTTTCGACACTGGGCGGAAGGGGGGGAGGGCTGGAGGGTCTGGCTCTGGACCTCTGCTTAGCGCAACTGTCTGCAACAGTGCGTCCGATGGGGGAGACTCCACATGCTCGAAACAGGCGCCAAAAACAGCCAAGATGGCTCGTGCCGATCGGCAAAACAATTAACAAATGATACCGGGACAAACCCCAATCAGAGTCATTTTTGATATGACATGAGATCCCTTTGCAATTGCTCCTTAGGTTTAGGAAGTCTGCGCGGGCTATGAAGGCCATGAGGGCTAGGGCTCTAGGCCTAGAGCTATAGAGCTTTAGGGCTATAGGGCTATGGGACTACAGGGCTGTAGGGCTATAGGGCTATAGGGCTATAGGGCTGTAGGGCTATTGGGCTATAGGGCTTTAGGGCTATAGGGCGATAGGTCTGTAAGGCGATAGAGCACCCAGGCACCCGGGTGCCCCAGGCACCCGGGCACCTGGGCACCCCCGGGCACCTCTGGGAACCCCCGGGCACCTAAAGGCACCCCCGGGCACACGGGCACACGGGCACCTCAAGGCACCCGGGAACCCGGGCTCCCGGGCACATGGGCACCCGGGCCGGCCACCGAAATCGGCGACGCACCTCACCTAACCATATGAATCCGTTAGGACCCCTACAGAGGCAAGCTCTGATTGGGGAAAAACTGCCACTTTCGGGTTTGGGGGGGTAAGGGCTTCATGTGTTTTTGTCCATGTTCCCCGACCCCCCCCCCGTGGAAACGGAAGGCAAATCGGGGCCTTCGGGTTGGGCTGGGGTGGTTTGGTCGGCGGTGAGGACCGTGGGCACCGTCTGGCCGCGCGCAGGAACGGGGGCGGCGAGCCCAAAGCCCCTCGCGCCACGGAAACAAGAACACGACCCAAGGTTATGGCCGCTCTCGGAGGCCTCCTGTCGGGTGCTGCCAGAAGTGCCCCTGGCCCAAGGTGCCCCCAGGATCTCCAGGGAGGCCCTCACGGCCTCCAGAGCATCCCTCGCAAGGCCCAGAGGGCCCGCTCCAAAAGGCGGCGAAGAGCTGTGGGGGGGCACCTTGGGCCAGGGGCACCTCTAGCAACACCTCATCCTGGAGGCCTCTCGTCGGAAACGGTATAAACATAAACTTTTGGCGCTCCGCGCGAATTTCTTCGATCTGCGCGGGATGCCCCTCTCTGGCGCGCGCACCGGAGGCGCCGCCAGGGGGGCCTAGAGCGGATCCAAAAAATCCAGCGCGGAGCGTAAACTTTCTGTTCATGGCGTTGTTTCTTCTTCGACTCTCGTCGCCACGGCTGGATCTGCCTCGAAAAACAAGTCGGGAAAGACCCTGCGAGAGCTCCAGGGCCGATGCTGGGCGGATCGGGTTCGAGCGGAGAGAAGCTGCCGTGGGCTCCACTGGACCACCTCCAGATCGTTTCTGCCCGCGTTCGGCCTCAGGGGGGCTCTTACTGGGCCGCGGGGCCGTCAGTAAACGCCTCGGGGTGAATAGCCTCAGGTCGGGCATGTCCTCCTACAGGCGGATTTTGGAGGACAAATGAAAAATAGACAAAAAGTATTCAGAAGTAGACAAAGTAGTAGAAAATTCGTTCCCATTTTACTTTTTGGATATTTCTGAATATTCCTCCTGTAGAGGGACATGCCCGACTTAACCTTACTGGGCCGCGGGACCGTCAGAAAACGCCTCGGGGTGGATAGCTGGTCCCAGGAAATCGGTCCAGACCTCCGGGGGTCCACGCTGAGAAAAAGGTTACGACGTCAATGGTCTGGGGGCGGCGAGTCGAGGATCGAGGATCGGTTGGCATCGGATTGGGCAACTGAATATGATCGGAACGTGCGTCGCCAGGGTGCACCAGCAGCGCCATGAGAGCATTTGGCATGCAAAAGGGGGCAGCGAGTGGAGAAGGAACAAAAAAATCATTCAGAGGTTGGAGGTCCACGCGGATGCTTGGATCGGAGCTTCACCCCCCTGGCGGCGCCTCCAGCGCCGCCACTGGCGCGCTCCGCGCGCAAGGGAGGAGGGTCTAGCGCCGATCCAAAAAACTCTGCGCGGACCTCCGAAAGGATATGGTGGTGTGCCATCGTTTCCTCTTCGAGGTTCGAGGATCGAGGGTCGAGGGCCGAGGAGAGACGTCCTGACGTCTGGGGCTTTTTGTTGGTGCATCCGTGGGGTGTAGCCTCTCGGCTGGAAGCAGGCCCGACAGACAAGTCAGGATGGGTCTCGCGAGGGCTCTGGGGTTAGGTCGGGCATGTCCCCCTGCAAGCGAATCTTGGACGAAGAATTCGAAATACTCAAAAAATGGTTATAAAACAAAAACAACAAAAAAACTCAAACCAGATACTCAAAAGTCGTCCCCTGACTATTTTTAACCTATTATTGCCTATTCCTCCGATGGAGGGACAGGCCCGCCTTCAGTCCGGGGCCAGTCTTGAGCGGGTCTGGGCACGGGGTGGCGTGAGGGGGGCGGCCCTCCAGAGAATCCTGACATCCAGGCGTTGCAATTTTTTCGTGCCAGGCGTCTTCGCCCAGCTTCGCGCCCCAGAACCATCGCAGAGCAAACGGGCTCGAGAACTGCTTGAAGTGTGGGTATCGGGCTCCGGTCGTGATCTCTCGCGCGATGCCGCACTCGTTCCGCAACGCTGGATCTCAGGGGAGGCCGGGGACTGCTTAGGAGCCCTCCTGCCATCCGAGTCCGAGAAGCCTTCTGACAGGCCCCGCTCCTCATTGAAGGCCGCCCGATGGCCCCAACCCCCCTCTGGGCGCGGCCAAATCGCTCACCAAGTAGATGCCGTCGGGATCTTGGAACCAGCTGTGGAGGCGCACGAGCTCTGGGCACTGCAGCCTCTTGAGCACTGCGAGCTCCTGGACGATGTCCTCCACAAGCCCCCTCTCTTCGGCGAGGTCCTCGACAGGCTCGGCCAGATCTCCAAATTTCTTGGAGTAGAATCTCACCGACCTCCAGTCGTCCCTCGACCTCAGCACCCGCGCCGAGTATAGCCCGCGAGGGCCACCCTCGAGCTCCTTGATCAGCCCGAACACAGCTCTCAAGGAGTTCTGCCCGATGCCGGCCTTCGACATGAGATCGCACCGCGTCGGGGCCGCGGCCGCTTCGCGCGCGGGGCCCTTGGGCCACCGCCGCGCCAGCCGCGCGAACAGCCGCTGGGCGTCCTCCCTGCCCACGCGCCCGTCCTCGGAGAAGTCGAAGCGCCAGAACGCGGTACCGACGTCGTGCAGCCGCGAGGCCTCCACGTCGGAGTCCAGCCCCAGCCTCGCCAGCACCTCCCCCGCGAGGCGCACCGCCCCTGGCGCGTCCAGCAGACCGTCCGGCCCAGCGCACCCGTCAAAGAGCTCGAGCGACGCCCGCGCCACGTCGGCCTGGAAGACCTCTGGCCGGCCCAGGGTCGCGGTCGGGTCTGTCTCGAGAGGAACAAAGGGCGGCACAAGAGCATGATGAAGCTTTCGGAGGTCTGCGCGGAGTTCTTGGATCTGCGCTGAATCCTGGTCCCTGACGCGCGGAGCGCGCCGGGTGCGGCGCCAGAAGTTCGGGGCCCAGCGCCGATCCGAGAGATCCGCGCGGACCTCCGAAAGGTTATGCCTGTGCCATTTTTTCTTCCTCGATTCTCGTCGTCGGCGCCCGGGCTGCGGAGCTGCGCTGGCCTGAAGCTCGAGAACGAGCTCAGCCCGTCCTTCCCCCGAAGGCAGAAGTGGCACTTGCGCTCCCGGCAGACGCTGCACGGGCAGCCGTTGCAAAGGCACAGGCTGGCCGCCACCGCGGGGGAGCCCGCGTCGCTGCGGGTGGCCGTGCGCAGCGAGGGCGGCGAGGACAGCAGCAGGGCGGTGCGCTTGGAGGCGCTGGCGTCTGCGGAGGCGGGCCTGCGCCCGCCCGCCCTCGCCTGGCCCGCCCTGCCCCTGCCGTGGGGCCGGCTATGCAGCAGCAGGCGCCGGAGCATGGCCTCCCTGGCCGCGGGGAACAGCGCCTCGAGCACGGCCGGCGAGTCCGTGGGCGGGGCCTCGGCGACGATCATCTCCTGGTCGCCTGGGCTCACCGCCCGGAGGGCCGCGGGGTCGCAGATGAGGGCGGCCGCCCCCATGCCGAAGCAGATGTGCCTGCACAGCGTCCCCTGGAGCGACTCCAGGGGCGCGCTGGCCTGCAGCTGGCGTCGCAGGTGGGCGCGGGACTGCAGCAGCGAGTCCACGGTGGCCTCCGCCACGTCCTGCTCGGAGAGGCTGCTCGACGATCCCCGCTGCAGCAGGAAGTCCACAGCCCAGCAGAGCAGCCTGTGCAACGCCTTCTGCGCCTGGGCCACCATGTGGGCCGACTGCAGACGCTCGCAGGGGTCCAGGGCGCGGAATCGCCCTGGCGGCTCGTCCACAACTCTACCCCGCTCCGCTGGCTTGGGTGGCCTGGGCAGAGGTGCCCCACTCCGCGCCGCCATGGCCAGGACTTCGCTGAGGGCCGTGAACTGACCCGGATCGTCGGCCACGTGATCCAACGCGATGTCCACGAGCCACGAGAAGCGCCTGGCCTTGCGGTCGGGCAGGCTGCCGGCCCCGTTGCCGAACCGGCCCGCCCGACGGAAGCTCCCTGGCAGGTGCTCGTTGTTGATGCTGGCGGGGGGTCGCATGCCAAACTGCGTCGAGAACGGGGCCGTGCTCAGCTCGAACGCCTTCTGGTACTCCCGAGGCGCAGTGTCCTCGGGGAGCTGCCGCAGCGCGCTCAGCACGGTTCCCAGCACAAACGACGGCCCGCCCTGCTCGGCGGAGCAGCCGTGCAGCATGAGGATATGCCTGATGGCGCGGTAGTCCTCCTCCTGCGCCCCTAGCAAGACAACCACTGTCTCGTCCTCGCTCAGGCGCCCCCTCGCCAGCAGATCCCTGAGCGTGCCGACCGACTCTGACCCCTGGTGCTGGCCCCCCGTCGCTCCCAGCAAGGTTTCACCGATCGGCCTCTCACCGGTTCCAGCCTCGCCACTCCCCGAACGGCGCATGCTGTAAGGATCGTGGTGCTGGCCCCACGTGGTTCCAAGCGTGGTTCCAAGCGCGGCTCCAGACATGGTTCCCGACCTGGGCCAGGCGTGCAGCGCCAGACTCCGCCTTGAGGGCCAGACACCAGAAGGGCAGCCTGCCCTGCGACCGCAGAGAAGAGAGCGAGACCAAACTGCTTGAGCCAGAGGCTACCAAGGTGTGCTGCACGGGCACTACGTGAGCAGGACGCTCAGGGCTCGTCCTCCTCCTCATCCCCCTCCCCCCCTCCTCTTCTTCCTCCTCCTCCTCCTCCTCCTCCTCCTCCTCCTCCTCCTCCTCCTCCTTCTCCTCAACCTCCGCCTCCTCCTCCTCCTCCTCCTCCTCCTGCACTGGCCTCTCCTCCTCATCGTCCTCATTGTCATCGCCGCCACCCTCGTTATCCTGATCGCCGAGATCTGTATAATTACCTTCGCCAAAAGCATCATCAGCAGCCGTATCTGCTCATGCACCCCCCCCCATCCTCCCTCTCCTGATCCCCCCTCTTTCTTCTGCTCACCTTCCGCTCCCTCTACCCCAAGGCCCCTGGACCACACACACACACACTTTGACGTCGCGACCGCGCGCGCGGCGGCACGGCGCAGGGCAAATCATGCGGAGAGCAGCGCGGTCTGGGCAAATTGGGGCACGCACACACACACACACACACACACACACACACACACACACACACACACACAAACACACACACACACACACACACACACACACACAAACACACACACACACACACACACACTTTTCCGTCGGCGGTGAGACAGAATTGGCTGCACCAGCGCTAGAGCTAAACGGGGGCACCGAGAAGCGAATTGGCCAGCGTGCAGGAGCGGGGAGAAGGACAGACAGGGAGGCCGCGGGGGGGGAAGCAGAGGCCACTGAGAGGTGGATGAATTTCCACACACACACACACACACACACTCACACACACACACACACACACACACACACACACACACACACACATATATATATATATATATATATATATATATATATATATTACGTCGGCGGCTAGGCAGAGTCACTGCGCTGGCGATGAAGCGTTAATGGGATGCACAGAGCGCGAATTGGGCCACCATGCACGGGGGAAAGAGAAGGACGCCCGGCGCGGGCAGGCGGGAGAAGGACGGCGGGCCCGCTCAGAGCGGGGCCAGGCGGCGGCGGGGGGGGCGCCAGGAGCGGGGACCAGCGGCAGCGAGGCGGCGACCAGGGGGAGGCAGGGCAGGGCGGCCGCCGGAGGCACGCGCCCGGGGGGGGGGGGGGGGCCAGCACGAGCAGGAGGCGAAAGCAGTGACAGCGAGGCAGCCAGAGGAGTCGAGGTCACGAGTGACCTGCGAGGCGCCCGGAGGCGGCGGCCAACGCGGGACCACCTCCAGGAGAGGGACTGGCCTGAAAACCAAGCAAAGTGGAGGGGAGACGCCGGGGGCACGGCCAGCGAGTGCCCAGCGGGGGAGGGGTGCGGAGGGCAAACGCCGCGGGTGCCGAGGTCGCGGATGACCTGCAATGCAATCCCGAGGCGGCGCAAGCCAGACCCACCCGTCGGGGACGCCTGGACTGGGCGGAGCATTCTCTTACACACACACACACACACACACAGATGGACGACCGAGACACGGCCCTCCAGCAGGGGGCACAAACTGATACGGCGCGAGGCCCTGCCTGCCCAGCCCGAACGTCTTCGCAGGCGCGCAGCGACGCGGCCGCACCTCCGGCCCCTCCACCCAGCAGCGCTGCCCTCGCGCCGCACGGCAGCGCCACGGCCCACGAGGGGTCCCGCGGGCCACGCACGAGCCTGCGAGCCCGCTCAGACCCCCGACGTCGTGGGTTTTTCACAACGTCGAACCCCAGAGGTCTGGAGTCCAGGCCTCTGGGGGTCGACGATTAGTGTGATACCTTGTTGGATTTGGCCTTTTGAAGAAGAAAGGGGGTAGGCGATTCCGCCCTCCACTGGATACCGATCTTGACGGCCACCAGAGGGCCACTAGAACGTCTACCTTCAGGGACGCGCTTCCGCGAAACCAATGTCTTACCAGTCTGGACCCCTTCCCCGGGACCGGTTTTTCATCCTGAGTCCTTTTGTTGACGGTCCAGGGGGGCCCGGGAAGAGCCCCTGGAAGCCGAAAGCGGCGAACGGAAACGCCCGTCGTGGCTTCGTCGCGACGCGAGGGGGCCTGGGCCCGCAGCCCCCCACGCAGCTCGGGGGGCCACGAGCGGGCGAGCCGCGAGGCCGACGTGGCAGCCGCAGGGGGGGGGGGGCAGCCACGACGGCCGGGCAGCCACGCCCCTGCGGACCCCGCCCAGGGGCAATGGCAGGGGGGGACTGGCACAGTGGGGGGACGCATCGACCTGGAATCGGCGACGCGTCGCCGATAGATTGGCCACAGGCCCCGGACAGCGAAACGCCGCCCTCCTGGGCGGAGTGGGGCTGTCGGGCCCCCATCGGCGATCAGAGGATCCCCCCCCCATGCCTATTCCCCACCCTATCGCTGCCCCCGAGAAGAGCGGTATCAGAGTGAGGGGGCCGAACGGTCATTCATTGTCCCTGGGTGCGTGGCTGAAGTGAGATTCCGCGGTGCGGATTCGTGTTGTTGTTGTTGTTGTTGTTGTTGTTGTTGTTGTTGTTGTTGTTTGTTGTTGTTGTTTGTTGTCGTCGTCCCACCCGCAACCCGCCCCGCGACCCACCCGCGACCCAACCCGCGACCCACTCCGCGACCCACCCGCGACCCACCTGCGACCCACCCGCGACCCACCCCGCGACCCACCCGCGACCCACCCCGCGACCCACCCCGCGACCCACCCGCGACCCACCCCGCGACCCGCCCGCGGCCCACCCCGCGACCCACCCGCGACCCACCCGCGACCCACCCGCGACCCACCCGCGAACCACCCCGCGACCCACCCGCGACCCACCTTCGACCCAAACCACGTTCAAGGTACAAACCAACATTTTCGGCGCCTGCGGCGGGCTTTTTTTGCATTCCTTCCAGGTGGAGAGCCCGCGACCCACCCCGCGATCAACTCGCGACCACCCCGCGACCCAAACCACGTTCAGGGTACAAACCACATTTTTCGGCGCCTGCGGCGGGCATCTTTTGAATCGTTCTAGGTGGAGAGACCGCGGCCCACCCGCGACCACGTTCAGGGTACAAACCAATTTTTTCGGCGCCTGCGGC